TAAATAGATTTTTTTTCTCTTCACAAGATACAGGCTGGTAAGTTAAGAACTTATCACATGTTTATCTTATCAAATATCACATGGAGCATTAAACTAGGGCTAAAAAGATGCAATTATATTTTTTCTTCATTCTAGAATACCTGATAAATGTAATTTCCACTAGATTTTACTTGATAATTGCAGGGTGAAAAGCAGCTTCATATGTGTTCCTACTAGGGTGTAATCAATAAAGGTATTCTAATATTAGACATGATCATGAGCTTTCACCAGATACACCCCAACTTGTTAGACCAATACACACAGAGACCTAAGCAATTAAATACAGTGGACAAATATTTACTCATTAGTCTCCCTTTCATACACCCAGCGAGTAAGAGAGTAGTAGTTCTGTCTGAGTATTCAAACTACATGACAGCAGACTGTATGAGGGAGATTATGTTACCTTGATTAGCTTTTATAGTGATGGCATGGAGCAGAATAATACATGGAGTGGGGGGGGGGAGGTGAAGAATACCCTGCGAATGTGTTGTGCCTGATTCAACATCCCACATGAGTAAAGAAACAAAAAAACCAAGATCAAACAGCCATTATTCCTGAGCTTTTTTTTCTAATTATCCAAAATATGGATAGACTTGTGTCATGTTACTATCCTTCTCAGTGCCTAATGAGAAATATTCCACATAAAGTAAACAGCATTCTAAATTTTGATTTCATACTACCATAAGAATATGATTATACTCTACTATTCTGTAATTTATTTCTTTCATCTTTAGCCAGCCACTGACTGTTCATTTATTTAAAATACATGTTGTTAGGCAGAAAGCCGTTTGGGTTCAAGGAAAAGCAGGTGTGAGAAGAAGAAGCATTTTGGAGTTTTGTTTGGCCAACTCGGAGTCTTCAGTTGAGACAAAAAAGTGCTTGATAATTAGAGATTCATCTGAGATTCATTCTACACACAAGAGCTACTTATCTAAGATTTCCACCATGCTATGTGGCTTTCATAGGTCTTTGCAAGTTCAGGTGATTAACTCATCCTCAGTGGTTGCTCTCAGGGAATTCCCAAAGGAATATGACAAATAGGTTTGTGCCAGTTTCCCACTGGTAGCAATTCCCACTTCTTTCCTGTTCTTTCCCGATTCCAAAGTACTGTGGCATCTTACAACCCTCTTCCATAGTTTCTGACCATGTGGAGATCCCACACACAGAGGCCTGTTTTTGTTTACTGCTTTAGTTTTTTCACATTAAAAAACAACAGCCATGCTATGGAAGAATGGGAGAAGGTGCCATCTGATAAAGTGTCATTTATGGATCAGCAAGAGCAGTGATGGCGAACCTTTTAGAGACCAAGTGTCCAAAAATTGGCCCCGCCCCTGCTCCGTGTCCCCATCCCCTGCCCCGCCTGCCCACAGGGCCACTCACCGCCTCCAGGGCCCACCGCAGATCGCCCAGGCAGCCCAGCAGCGCTATGGCGGTCATGCCCTCTGCCCATGCCATGCACATCAACTGTGCACAATGGGATGTGAGGGCAGAGTCTTGTCTACGCTGCCTGGCTGCTATGTCCTTGGCTGTGCTGCTCCACGTGGGCCATGCTCAGGGGCAACTCTCCTTCAGGGGGGCTGCTGGAGAGGAGGGGGTCACGGGGGGAGGCGAGGCTGGGGCAATGGCAGGTGTGCCCATAGGGAAGGCTCTGAGTGCCGCCTCTGGCACCCGTGCCATAGGTTCGCCACCACTGAGCTGGAGGGAGAGCGCAGGATCAAGGAGAATACAGGAGCATTGAGCAATAGGGCTATTCAACAGTTTGGATTTGAAGAGGAATCCAAACTATGCAGGGTAGTCATGTCATTCTTGTTATCTTTAAATAAGGAGAAAAAATATTCAACATTGTCTGAATAATTTTTAATACTGTGAATCTCTTTTGAATAGTTCTTCTAAGCATCCTTAAGTGGCAGTTCAAAAAAGTTCTCAGAGTTTGGGGAGTGTAGCTGATTATGGAAGGACCTTTATTTTGTTGTGTTTTTCATGTCTTGAGCCAAATAGTTATCATCTAAATGATACATACCAAAATTACTATGTTAATTAGAAACAAATCTTCAATATGAGTAACTTCTCTAAGATTATCTTTCTAACATAGTCGTTCAAATGTCTCACCTCTGCTGCTCTGGATATTATCAATGGACCAAACCAATTATTTTACAACTTTTATTTAATTAATGAAAGGGTTATATAAAACAAAATAGGTTAACAACATCTGTAGTTCACTGAAGGTCCACAAATACCAATGTTTTGATGTTATACTATGAGCCATATCTACAAACATAGGAAACTGCAGTGATCTCTGTAAATGCTGAGTTTTGCTCCTGAATGTGATTATATTTCAGAAAATTTAAAGCATTTAGGTCTGAAATTATTAATCTCAGATAAGCCCCGAGAAAATCAATTTTAATTTAGATTGAGATTTAGAGAGGTTTTTTGGTTTTTGAGATTGTTGAAGTCTGCATTTTAAATTATAGGAAATTTACTCCGTACTGGACTCTGAGTGAAGCCAATTTATGGATTTTTTTTTAATATTTTTTTTTTTTGCGGTTTGGACAATCAAGCTAAGGGAGATGAAATAACTCCTGTCTGAAATCTCAAACTTCTGCTGACAAAGTCAAAAAAGAAGAAAAAAGCTAAAGAGAACAATAGCATTCAGCTGAAGGTAAATGTTTAGGCTCCTCAGATTATTCAAAAATAAGGATCCTATTCATCCTAATTCACCCAACACGTCTCCAGAACCTGCACTGGATTACCCAATAAATGTTCTCCTCTTGGAGGCAATGGGAAAAATGAAGTATATATTTATTTATTAATTTATATGCCACCCATCTCACTCTGCAAAGTAACAAAAGCTTCTCCTATCTTCTTGCTCAAGATAGTGGCAACTTTTTTGTCACAGATCTCTCCACAACCTCTACCAACAGCTAAAAATATAGGTATCATGTAATTAGTAACGTTGATAGGTCAAAAGTAGAGCATCTGCTTTAATTTAAAAGGCTGTAGATTCAATCCTAGACTTGGTGGAATGGGAAACATTCTGTCTTTCTCCTTGGCAAACTGATGCCACTCATGAACTAAATAGGCCAAGAGTTTAACTACAAATTTAATGAATAAATAATAGAAATAAGATTCCATATGCATTGAAACTTCAATATAATATATCCTCATTTAATTAACCAAATTTCCATTGGAACACCCTCCTGAAATCAAAAAACAAATTGTTGAATCCTACGAAAGTTGCTTTATACTTTGATTGGAATGTACTTTATAAAACAAGGAACAGGTGTGGAATGATCCACAAAAGAGACAAGCTTCTAGCCCATTATGCCGGAAAAGCAGGAGGAAATAGATAAAGAAATTGTCAACTTAATTGTCTATACATACATGACTCACTTGATAACAAGAAATTTGCTAGAATCCTTAACCTTCCTGCAACTAAACACTATTAATCAGAGGTTAAAATTCTCATTCCTTGGAATATGTGTTTCCAGTCTAGATTGCCTGGAGGGAAGTCTGGCAAATCCAAAATAGTTTGAACAATCCAGTTAAAATTACATTAATTTAATTTCAATTTTATTACATTGCATAATGATATCATTATGCAAATAATGTAAATCATCAAGATGACATATCGGTAAGACTTGTCCCAACTGACTTAATAAAAAAACTATTTGCAAGGACAGACTTGCAAAGCCACTGAAGTACTGATAAATAGATTTAGTGCAGTAAAGTTAATGAAGCCCTATTTACAATGAAACTTCTAATATCTGTCCTTCTTTTTCCTTCCCATGCAATTTGAAAACTAGAAGCTCACTGTCTTTTGTTCTGGTATGAGGTATTAAACTGTTTGCTTCTGACTGCATAAGGATGTATTCACGCTTATATTTTCATATTTATCAATATGCCCCCAAATACTCAATTAAAAGTACTGTACAGCATTTCAGTTTGTTGATTAGATGGGTTTTTATCTTATTCAAATAATTTCTTGACACGTAGCCTATGCAATCTTAGAAAACACAGAACTGGACAAAAAGAAGAATCTGTGAGGGCCAAGACAACTTTACTCAATAGGATATAATCAACAACAAAATGTTTTGATCCATGACTGTGAAAGCAGCTTTCGATAACTACTGCAATTATCTTAAGCTTCCAGTTGTTTCTTTAATAATTTATTAATTACTTTCACACCCATAGGAAACTTATGGCATCAGATCCTATTTGGATGTAAGAAAATCAAAACAATCTACAAATCATACATGGTATGCAACAGCCTTCCTCAGTGTTCTCAGTTATCTTGAGGCTGTTTCTCAGAATTTTCAACTAAAGTATCATTTGCAAAATTCTTGCCCAAGGTTGTCAGTGTTGAGAAGTTCTACAAGCTCCAGTTCCAAGTCTCTAGAATGGAAACCATTCTTACTGATAATTGTATGATTGCTTTAAAGTTCCTTCCTAGCAAGGCATCCATTTTAGTGATAGTTACACTGAATGGCAAAAATGTCATTTCTCTTACATACAACTTCACTACTTTTCTTTTCTTTTTTTATTGCGTTCAGATCCCAAACCTAGAAAAATCCTAATACACAGTGAAACCTTGACTTGGCAGACCTAAACACTAAATATGGCACATGCAACCCACCATATTTGTTAGATTTATGCTGTTTCATAGTATTACTGGGTTCGCTTTCGAAGGGAGGGCCAAAACAGTTACGAAAGTGGTGGCCGCAACCTGCATATAAGGGGGATGAGTCTGCGATCACATGGTTACAGCTGCCATCTTTAAACATCCCCCATATCTTTATCATTTGTGTGATGACATAGTGTGCAAATGTCATCATTTTGCATCAATTTACATCACTTATCATTAATAATGCATTGCAACAAGGTTTCACTGTGACATAAAGTCATCTGGATGCCTTGATACAAGCCATCCACATGGCGCAATATCACAAATATGACATATTCACCACAGGCGTTGATTGTGGAGCTAAGTGACGTGGCTCCAGTGGAAAGGCCACCTTTGGAAATTGCTGAAACAATAGATGCTGAGGACAAGGCAGGAGATGAAGCTGCAGTGGAGGAGGCTGCTGTTGATGTTAACCGTTCTCCAGACTCCATATCTGAAACAAAAAAAAGGACATGTTAAAAAAAACACACATTAAGATGACTGTATAAGGGATTATCAAGTATTTCACCAAGATATTCTGCATTTTGCAAAAACTAATGAATTTAAAAAAAGAACAGAATCAAAAGGATATTTTTTCTTTACAATGGGGAAACTTACTGTTGGATTTTATACTATAATCCCAAATGAATTTTGGGATTTTGCTTGCTGGAACTATATATATATATATATATATATATATATATATATATATATATATATATATATATATATATGTATGTATGTATATATATATAAAATATATATTCAATCAATTGAAACTGGGTTCTTCTTGCCAAATATTTCTATAATATCAAACTATAAAGAAAAGCTTGATTGATAGAGATAGAAGATAGATAGACAGATTGAATAGATATACAGGAGATAGATAGATAGATAGATAGATAGATAGATAGATAGATAGACAGACAGACAGACAGACAGACCAGAGACAGTGTAGATGATAGACAGACAGACAGACATACTGTAGATATGCAGTAGAGATAGATATCGATATACAGGAAGAAAGAGAGGGAGAGGGAAAAGGAGATGGGGGGAGCGATAAAATAATCTTGGAAATGTTTTCCAAAATGGTTTTCATTTTGCTTGTTAGGTTGAGCTATAAAGAATAAATCATTCTTCATCTTCACATATACAGTATCTTAAGTGCAAAGACAGCTCTCTTGAGCCAAGGTGTTCCCTTTCTTCTTTTCCTGATAAAAGTTTTGGGTAAACTGCAGAAGTTGGGCTCCGCTAGTGAGTTATACAGTAGTGATTTGAACTTGAGTTCTCAGCAAGAATTTCTGCCTGATAACCTATCTGACTCAACCAAGAAGAAATTTTTATTTACTTATTTGAATCCCATCTTTATTGCTTTTACAAATAACTCAAGGCAGCAAACATATCCAACATATCATCCTCCCCCTATTTTGGACTAAGAGAGAATGAATGGCCCAAGGTCACCCAGTCATTTTTATGGCTAAGGTGGGACTAGAACTCATGGTCTCCCACATTTTAGTCTGGTGCCATAACCACTAAACCAAACTTGCTCTATAATCATGATAATCTGAATTGTGTATGCGTTCTGTGTATGTTCTTTGTTCTTGATGATTCCTTTGAGATTTAGGATGCCTACACAATGAGTATGTTATCTTCTTGGCACTCTGAAATTTCTATAATCAGCAGGATAAAAAACAAGAACGAGCCTTTGTCTGTCTTTCCTTCTGCTATGAAGGAGGTAAATGATTGAAAGAGTTATGTGGTGTCTGAGAGATGAAAAAGACAGACCAGCTTCTTTCTCCTCACAGTCTGCTCAACAAGAATGCCTTATACCAATGGTGGCGAACCTATGGCATGGGTGCCAGAGGCGGCACCTGGAGTCCTCTCTGTGGGCACACGTGCCATTGCCCCCACCTTGCCTCCCCCTGCAACCCCCTCCTCTCCAGCAGCCCCCCTGAAGGAGACTTGCCCTCAAGTGTGGCCCACACGGAGAAGCGCAGCCAAGTACATAGCAGCCAGGCAGCGTAGACAAGACTCTGCCCTCACACCCCATCATGCAGTTGATGCTGCAGGACGCGGGCAGAGGGTGTGGCCACCATAGCGCTGCTGAGCTGCATGGGCAATCTGCGGCAGTCCTGGAGGTGGTGAGTGGTCCTGTGGGCAGGCAGGGTGGGGGATGGGGGGGCAGAGCAGGGGCGGGGCCAGTTTTTGGGCACTCGGTCTCTAAAAGGTTCGCCATCACTGCCTTATACCTTCAGGACAAATCGGTGCTTTAGGTTCAAGGAAAGCTAAGAGCTAAGGCTCTTAGACAAGCATTTGCAATGGCAATAAAGAATTTTATTTGTTAACTCTTGGCCATTGTCTAGCAGTTTACCAGATTTTTACAGCAAAGAAGCTTGTTTTCTATGTGCCTATGGCCAGAATATCTGAAACATTTTTTATTTTTGTTTCATCTGAATGCAGAACAAGCAAATCTTTTGCTTTGTCTGAACTGCAGCCAACCTGAATTGAGTTGACAGAACTTCCAGGACATAATGTTTTGAGTTTTAAATAGACATTATTTACAGAGTTATAAATAAAATTCTTCTATCCTTGGACTCATGGTCAGTTCAGGTTATGGCACCGGAACTGCTAGACAACAGCCAAGAGTTACAAATAAAATTCTTTATTGCCATCGTAAATAACATTATACCCTTATGTTTTCCCAAATGTTATAACACATTAGGCCCTAGTTTTTGTCTTGGCTTTATCTTTTCTTCTCCTTACGGGAGTGAAGAATCAACAACCCATTTCAAGATCTGTAGTTCCTCTTTGTTTTTTGATTCTGAGATATTCTGATTCTAATATATCATGTAAATTGCACATCCTGACGAAGCTCATTATTTTATAGAAAAACTTTTTTTATATTATTTTATGTACTTGAAATGGTAAGATTTCAAATTATTTTTTTTCACAATTGTGAAAATTATAATGGGGAAGCATAGATTTATAGTATTGTCAAAGGTGAATATTTAGGATTAGATTTTTCTAAAATGGCATTTGCTGAAATTGATGCTCTGATACTTGGGTGGATCTATTTATATCAAAAAGAAAGTGGCCCTATGTTTTTGTCAAATATTTTAACATGCTTCTTTTTTTTTAAATAACATTTTAGAAATTGTTCTATTTTTTGTATTGTGTAGAAAATTTCTAATTTAAAATATTATGTACAAGTTTGCACAATTTATTTGCAGAATTTAGTTAATAAAATATCTGATGGCCAAAGCTAAACAAAAGCATACAAATATTACCACAGGCACACAAGTACATCTGAAACAAAAAAGAAACAAATCCTGAAACACTTCAGTAACCACAATTATTTCAAGTTAAGCATGAAAGTAATAAAACTCAAAGATATAATTCTATGACTTCTCTGAAAATAATCCCCACTGACCTCAATGAACTTAATTCTAGATGGACTTTTTATAGGGTTGCATCATTAATTAATGGTGTCTCCCACTGGTTTCAATGGGATTAAAAATACAGTCTACTTAGATGTAAGCCCCACTGTACTCCCAGTTAAATTAGTACAGAATTGCAGCTCTAGACTTTCCTAACTTCAACTGATTAGAGCTCAATATAATTAACATTATTTATTATGAACATTAATATTAACACAATTTTATGTTAATTAAATAGGAAAAGCCTATAGCCCAAGGGATGCGCACACAACTCCTGCACGCTCCGTTTCAGGTAACTAGGTATTGAAATTAATATTTTATCACATTATTTTATTTGCTATATATATATGCAGTGCTCTCAAGTATCAGTGTTATCTTTTCACAATTAAACAACAAGATCACTCTTAAGATTGGCACCCAAGATTATTTACAATATGTGATACAACAAACTTTCTCAGAAACAGGAATTAATTGAAGACTACGGACATGTAGTATCAGTATTTTAAGATAAAGAGCAGTTGGCCAAAAATTATTTTTCCATATATAATAGAATTGAGTGGCTATTCAGATATTCCTTACAATTACTCATTTAGGAGAAACTCTCAAAACAATGTCCTCGACAGCCAAACTTCGTGGCTTATTAAATGTGGATCAAACCAGCTAAAATACCGGTATGTCACCTAACCTCTGTCTGTAGCATCTTCTACTACTGTGCTTTGAGAGACCTAAGAATTTTGTTTTTAAATTTAAGATTAAGCCTTAATTGTACCCAGTTAGTTCATTACTCTAAACCACAGCAGATGGCTGACATTGTAAGAGATAATCCCTGAAAGAGTCATTAGTGAGGATCAACGATAATTAGACTGCAACCCCAAAGGTTCACAAGAGAGAATAAAAAAAGTATCAGTATAGCAGCTCTCCCTATGATAAGCAACAAGTGCTTATTCCATTTTTTTTCTTTGCCTAATGCACTGTTGGCAAATACAACCAACTGTGTCAAATGAAAGAATCTTATTACAGATAAAACATACTTTAGATAATACAATAACTTGCCCTTCTATCCTCGTATTATCCAGAACAGGTATTTTTATTTATTTATCCTGACAAGGACTGAAACTTCACTTCCAGGTTGCTTAGCGATGAACAGGGTTTTTAACAAGCAGGAATATCCAGCTGAACTGAAAAGGATGAATGGTGTGCCTCCTTTAACACTGTGAGCAAAACCTGTCTTTTTCTCTCTACTAATTACTATATAAATATTTCAAGGCACACTGAAATATTTTGGCTCAAAGAAGCCAAAGAAGTAAATAATGTATTTCATAAAAAGACACATGTTGCAATCCTTTTCAAAATGACAACTGCATACTGTGTAACAAGCTGATAAGTACCCAGCATTGGTTTGTCTTTGTACCTTTCCAGAAAGATACATTTATTAAGAGAATGCATTGGTTTATTTTATGGGCAGTGAATCTCATAGCACAGGATCTGTTCACATGTCTATCATGTTTCAGATTCCAGTTGCTAGGTGTTGACTGGAAAGCACTGGTCCCATTGGGGAGGGGTAAATTGGTTATATCCCCTGACAAATTTCTCTTACCATTAGAACTGTCCAGCTGAAATATCCTAAACAAACGTAGTTTCCTTCCTATATAATTTAAACTTTAAAACTCATTATTACTTAAATCCATGTTTTAAAATAAAATCTATTGTTGTTATAATAATATTTCAATAAACAAAAAACATATTTTCTCAAAGACTGGTGGTACTTGTTGAGGTAATACAAGTGTTTCCTTAGCAAAATAAGTTATGATGTTTCAAAATATTTTCCTGTTTGCCCTTGATTCTTTATCCAATACTTCTCTCCCCAGCAGATTAAGCATGGGATTTCTATGGTTTAGAACATCTCTTTGGCTAAATCTGCATTCCACAGAGGGAAAGACATCTCCAGATGTTGATCTTATAGATTCACATGCTGCTCAACTATGGGACAACCGATACGAAAATCAACATAGATTTC